GGTTAAATGTAATATAATACTGCATTATGGCCACTCAATGGAGCTACTGTCCAGTCCCGTCAACGCCTCTGCGTTCAGTGAACAGGCGTGTTCATGGAACGCGTCAAAAACGTGCTTGGCGCTTGCGGTGCCGTTACTTGTTAATCCCACCCCAAACGCACGCAGGAAAATGCATTTTCCCCATGCGTGGATGCACATTAAACGTGCACAAATGCATGGTGACGAAAAGCAGTACGCCTTTAGCAGAATCTGCCACATGAGATACTTTCCCGCATTTGTAGTGTGTGCGGCACCCATTGAAATCAACAGGCAATGTGCGGCAAATGTGCAGCAAATGTGGGAAAAATGCGTTTCCAGAACGCAAAGGTTTGAACGGGGACTCAGGGTGGACATATGCGGAGTAGAGAGAGAGAGAGAGAGAGAGAGAGAATGAGAGAGACAGAGACTTCCATACACAGTATACAGAGCCTGTGGAATAGGAACGCTGAGCAATGAATGGCTGGAAATGGGAGGAAGGAAGGGCACAGGAGTGAACATGAAAGAAGGAAAGTACAGAGGAGGGAGGGGGGAGCACACATGAATGACGCTGAGCACATTCCCAATCCATCCAAACATCACCCTACATCACACACAACCTATAAATCAAATCTCAATAGATTAATACAGACAATAAGAGACAAGCTCCTAGATAGAAAGTAGATGGAAACCCCAACTGAACGACATTTCGTTTTTTACAGCACTGTGTCTCATAAACAATTGCCTATTTTTATTCAAATATATGCTTTTACCCTCTTTTCATCTTTTGTTACATCGCAGTGCTGCTGCTCTCCTGCTGTTGGTAGCCACTTCTAGTATACACATGCTCCTCGGGTTGCGATCACATATACAATGCAGTTTACTGTGCAATACTGTACAGTAAACTCCCAGTTCTTCAGCACCCACGATGATCTATAGGTGACAGATAACTGTAGTTTATGGCTGCTTAAAGGCCGTGACACACTGCACGCAAAACAGCGCGGAGCGGTGGCGCACTGCCTTTGCGAGCAGTGTGTCATGTCACTTTCTTCTCGGCACCTCAGCTTGCGAGAGCTCGCAGAGCTGAGCGTGCCGAGAGTAACAATTTCAACTTCAGCCAATCGGCTCGCGCGTATAGACCAGCGCGTCGCGATGCGACAGCTGGCAGGTTGTTACGGACGAGCCGATTGGCTGAAGGTGCTGTCAATCATCTGACTGCACTCAGCTCACACACTGCACGCAAAGCTCCGTGCCGGATAGCTTTGCTTCGCTCTGCACGGCTTCGCGTTCAGTGTGTCACGGCCTTTAGAGTTAATAGTAACTCTCAAGCAACCATGCCCGAGGCACCCTGCTTCCCCATTCACCTGCCGGCTAGCTTCCACAGCTGACAGATGAATAGAAGAAGCCAGGAGCCATACCCAGCCTGCTATTGGCTATTTGAAATTGCAGCAGCCAATAGCAGGCTGGCTATTGCACCTGCCCACCGAGCAGAGGAGCGGACCTGAGACAGAAGTTACTCTCTCAGGTCCACTCCTCCTCTTAGTGGGCCGGGTTTCAATAGGCAGCCTGCTATTGCAATTCGAAATAGCCAATAGCAGGCTGGTATGGCTCACAGCCTCTAGATGGAGTGGAGGCATATGGGGAGTAGAGGAAGAACGGGGCGGGTAGCGGAGGAATGGGGGAGCAGAGGAGGAATGGGGCAGGCAGCGGAGGCGAGGGGGCAGAGGGAGAATGGAGCAGCAGCGGAGGTACAGGGGGGCAGCAGGGGAATGCAGTCACATTGGTCTCTCTTCCCTGCTGCAGTGGTCTCTGTCCCCGCTGCCTGTCTAGCTATTGCTCCCTATTGTGTACTGTCTGCGGCCGACCGCGGCAATACAGTACACTCCTCGGTTTACGAATCAATCGCCTTACGATTGGTTTATCAGAACGTAAACCCCATCGTATACCGAGGAGTGTCTGTACATACATGTTCTCCAGTAATGACTGTATGGCATTTCCTAGTATTGGTTCCCGGATGGTGACAACAGTGGTCCATGTCTGTGTAATGTGTGTTGAAACAGCCGCTTGTAGTCCCCATCGGTGACAACACAGGAGCATAACTGGTAGACTGGAAGGGCGTTGTCATCCTATTACAGGAAGTGCCTAAACAAGGACCTTCATGGCAATATGTTAATGACAGCTTCAGATTTTAAAAGATTGAAACTTACTTTTGAAATGCACGCCTCGGTTTACAATACAATCGCCTTACGATGGGTTTATCGAAATGTAACCCCATTGTAAACCAAGGAGTGTCTGTATGTAATGTTCTCCATTAAAGACTGTATGGCATTTCTCAGTATTGATTCCTTGATGGTGACAACAGCAGACTATGCCTGTGTAATGAATGTTGAAAAAGACACTTGTAGTGATTGGGTGACAATGCAGGAGCCCAATCAAGACACATTGACAGATCGTTGTCACGTGACAAGAAGTGATAATGCTTAACAATGCTTAATCTCCTAGGGTTGTGTCCTGATGGCGACAACAGTAGACCATGTCTGCATAATGAATGCTGAAACTGCCACTTGTAGTCTCCAACTAAAGTCCATGTGACAGGGTGACAACGCAGGAGCCCAATCAGGAGCCAAAGAATGAGCGATGTCACCTTACCACGAGAAGTGCTGAACAAGTATTTCATGACAGCAGACCATACCTGCATAATAAATGTTAAAATGGCCTCGAATAGTCGCCATCTGAAGCCTGTGTGACAACACAGGAGCCCAATTAGAAAACAAGGACCAAGCGTTGTCAGCTTATGACAGGAGCACACATTTCTCAGCGTGTCCTTCTTAAAGTGACAACAGCAAACTATGACTGTGTAATGAATGGTAAAACGGCCACTTGTAGCCTCCATCTGAAGTCTATGTGACAATCAGGAGACATTGACAGAGCGTTGTCACCTTATGACAGGAAGAGGCTGAACAATCATTTCTTAGGGCATCTTTACTGATGGACAACAGCAAACCGCGCTTACATAATACATTCTTAGGGGCTGAACAATCATTTCTTAGGGCATCTTTACTGATGGACAACAGCAACAGCTTACATAATACATTCTTTAAGTGCCACAGTAGTGTCCCTCAAATGCCTGTGTGATTGGGTGTCAATGCAGGAGGCCAATCATGAGACAAGGACAGAGCGTTGTCACTTTATCACCTCTTCTGGCATCTTTCCTGAAGGTGACCACAGCAGACCATACCTGTGTAATGAATGCTGAAACTGCCACCTGTTTTGTTCATCAGATGCCCATGTGACAGGGTGACAACACAGGAGCCCAATTAGGAGCCAAGCAGACTATACCTGCGTAATGAATGCTGAAACTGCCACCTGTAGTACCCATTAGAAGGCCATGTGACAGGGTGACGATGCAGGAGCCCAATCAGGAGCCAAATATAGAGTTGTTACCTTATATGCATAATGAATGCTGAAACTGCTACTTTGTGTGTCCATCAGACATCCATGTGACAACACAGGAGCCCGATCAGGAGACAAGCACAGAGCATTGTCACCTTATCGAAAGGAGTGCTGAACAATCACCTCGTCAGGCATCTTTTCTGATGGTGAAAATAGCAGACCATACCTGTGTAATGAATGCTGAAACGGCCATCTGTAGTGGCCATCAGATGCCCATGTGACTGGGTGACAACACAGGAGCCCAAACAGGAGCCAAGCAAAGAGTGTTGCCACCTTATCACAATAAGGGCTGAACAATCACCTCTTCAGGCATCTTTGCTGATGGTGATGAGTGCTGAAAACTGCCATCCGTAAGGCGTGTCCAGTTCCTTAGCCAAGCGCTGAGTAGTTGTTCGGCAGCACTTCAGTACGCTGCACAGTACTCAGAAAAATGGCGGAGGAGAATATTTTTGACTAATACCATTTTCCAGTGAACATAAAATTCTAGGTTCCCACACTGAATTGATTTCCTCCATTGAAGTTCAGGCACCTTACTCCAGCGCTGCCAGGTGTGCCCACAGTTAAAATGGCCGCTGGTGCTCTGTCCCCACCTTCTCCGTCACACTCAGCACTCGCAGCAAAAGTGAATGTGGATGCAGAGCAGTAAGTTAGCAGTGTTGAGCGCTGACTTGCAGCATAGCATTCAGCAGTGGTTTGCTAACTCTGCACTAGCAGAGGCTGGGCAACTGAACATGCCTCACAAGCCCATGTGACAGGGTGACAACACAGCAGCCCAATTAGGAGCCAAAGAGTTGTCACCTTATCACTGGGGTTGCCACCCGTCCCGGATTTACCTGGACAGTCCGGATTTCGAGTCCTATATGTGCTGTGTCTGGGTTTTAGATGGCCTGCAACCCAGAAACAGCACATACAGGACTCAAAACCCAACTGTCCAGGTGAATCCAGGACAGGTGGCAACCCTACACATCTCACAAGCATGAGTTGTCACATAAGGATGAGAGATCTCACCTTGTCACATAAGGATGAGTTGCCACCTTATCACATAAGGATGAGTTGTCCCAAGAAGTGCTAAATATGCACCATCATGTCTGGATGACCATTTATAAAAGGTGATTTAAATTTTTTACTTTTGACATGCCATGCACACGTTAAACATTCCAGGGGCTTTGAGTGACTGCATTTCCACCCCCCGTAACCGAAAATAACCGCGCAGAACAATACCAGAGGCGAGCCGGTAAAGTTTGAAAGCGGCCACAGCTGCAGACGAGGTTGTCCCGCTGTGATTGCTCTGCCATAGTGCGAGGGAAGTAGACGGTCCCAGGAATGTGTGTAACATGAGTGACTACAGGCAACACGAGTAGGCGCCGGAGCCTGGCCTGCGATTGGCAAGCCGTGACGTGCCTACGCTCCGATTGGCGAGCCGGGACTGTCATTCAGGGGGGAGTGGGCGGGCGCGGTGGGCTTGTGGCAGAGGCTTGCTGTGCCTTGCTGTGTGTATGTGTGTGCACGCCCCTGAGACAGAGAGAAGAGACACACACACACGGGTCCAACAGCAGCTTCAGCAGCAGGGAGAGGCTGGCAGGATGAGCACTGTTCCCTAAAGCCAGACATGCACCCAAACAAAGCAGGATTATCCAGCACTGCTCAGGCTACCGGGGACGACTGTGAAGGATGCCAGTGCATGGACACAACATGCATGCCTGCGCATAAGAGGATTTAAGAGAGCAGCGAGCGGCAGGAAACAATCACACATACATACAGAAGAGAGACAAGTGCGAGCACTTTGTAGCCGACCCTTCTCTATGTGCTTTGCGGAGGGCAGAGGATTAGTTGTGCTCTGGGAAGTTGGGATGCGCTGCTCCGGACTGTGAAGCAGAGATGCTGTACAGAGGAGGAGGAGGAAGCAGCACCGATCTCCGCTCCCAGGCTGTGTGTGTCCTGTGTATGGGGGAAGACTAGGCGCATGCCACTGCTGGGAGGGGGGATCAGTCACTTCTTGGCTGGACCTGGACACTGATCGCACCACCTATACTGGATTACATCTACAAGCTTGAGATCGGTGGGATGTAAAGCAAGCGGCCGGCTGGGGGACAGGGGGATCTGAAAGCAGCAGATTGAAGGCGGTTGGCATGAGCAGGTATTGCGATCCCTTTATTACTTCTCTTCTTCAGTTAGGGGAGATGGGAGTGGAAGGCGGGTAGGGAGGAGGAGGGGATGGCACGCCTACTAGTACCTATGCTCTGTCTCTGCCATCTCTGATCAATACCCCATGCTGGGGAGGAAGATGCAGGCACAAAGGCACATTTGACTTGGCACAAGTTGGTGGGGAAGAGGGGTTCATCACTGCCAAGCTGGAGATCCCCTCGCCCCAGCCAGTCCTGAGCTTTTTTCTTTCTTCTGTAGCTCTGAATGTGATTGTATCCGTACTGCTGAGACCATAAAAGAAAGGGGTACACACCGCGAAAGTTTGTATTGAAAATGTAAAAAAAAAATGACAGCTGGTACTCAACTAGGTCTGGTGGGAAAACGCCCATTGGAGATTGTCATCAATCGATAAAGAGCAGGAAGGACACAGGTTTTGGTCTAACGTTGGGTGAAAAGTTTGATGCAAAAAAAAATGAAATTCTTGTTGCCTTCTAAGAGCCCCTTGTCATCCCGCCTTACTTAGTCCCGTCTTTTGTGAGTTTGCGCTTGACCGATTGGACGCTTTGATTTTCCCCGTAGGTGACAATCCCTCAGTATGTAGGAGTTTGCATCGCCAGCCAAGGAGGGCTTGGTCATTTTGATTTGGGTTGGGTATGATTTTGTATTATAGGTTGTACACCTAAATTCGCTCAGTCAAAGGCATGTGTGTGTGTGTAGGGGGGGTAATTAGGGTGACTTTGGTTGCCTTATGTATTATAGGTTGCACATCTAAATTCAGGCTTAAAAATTCAGCCAGTCAAATGGGTGAGGGGGGGGGGGGGGATTT